CACACACCGATCCCTGCCCTTGGGGAACTTCCCTTGCCACAGGGGCCAACAGGCAGCAGAAAATTAAAAGAGTAAATAACCTCTCAGGCTGAAAGGTGGAAAGTGCTACAAAGAATTGCACAGCAGTACCAGAAGGGGCACCTGAGAACCGGGAAGCTGTGTTTACCGTTTCCAAAGGGGGGTAAACAGAGGCCTCATTAAGAAGGTGGTCTTTGCACAAAGAGGTGAAGGCCCCAAAGCACTGGAAAATCATTTTTCATGACCGCATAGTATGCCATTGATGATATGTGCAGAAATGTGTTTAACCAGTGCTCTGCTGATAGATACTTCGCTCGTTTCTAATTTTTCACTGCTATACGAGAGGCTGCAATATAGCCCTGTGTACAACTGGTGAACGTTTGTGGAATTATTCCCTTGGGAGGAATGCCTAGCCCCTAATCCAAGACCTCTAACCATTTCTAAATCAGAAGACTTCCTGTCACCTGCCCTCCAGAAAGACTGCCAGTCAACACCTACAATAACACATCTGAGTTCTCAATCCCACTGCCTTCCCAACACACACTCCCCATCTGTCGTTTATTTTTAATTTTGCTAACTTTGGGGGGAGAGTGTTATGATATTTGCGCTGCTTTTACTTTGCCGTAGTTGGACAGTCTTTCCATTTGCTTGACATCTTTGTGTGCTTTTTCTCCTCTAAGCCCCTTATCCGTTTCCTGTGACCATGTTTTCTATGGGACGTTTGCTGCTTTTGTAAATTGGGAATGTGTATGTTATGTGTTGCCAATATGTTTGCTGGTTTGTCTTCCCACTTTTCTTACAAACATTTAAAATTTTTATATTGACAAAAATAACAGTGTTTTAAAATACTTTCTGGATTCCTATCATGGTTAGAACAGCTTTCCCAACTTTTAGAATTATAAAAATACATCTCCACTCCCTCTGTAGTTTTATTTTTTTCTTTGCATTTAAATCCTTAATTCACTTGGAATTCATTTTGATATAAGAAATAAGGAAGAGCCCAGCCAGTGTGGCTCAGTGGTTGAGCATTGACTTATGAACCACCAAGCGCCCCACGGCCGCCCCTCAGGACCTCTCGCATATCCTCTTGTGCGCTGTACACACTTCACTGTCAGCAGTTCTTCTGCGTTATCCCGGTCAACCTACGTGCACGATGCTGAAGCACGTGCAGCCGGGCGGGGGGTGAGGCTGAGGGGGGGGTCTACATGGACAGCCAGCAGGCCCTGGGGCCGTGGAGGGCTGCGGCCGAGATGGTGAGAGGTCGTCCGTATCCAGGTCTGCGCAGGCATGCAGGGAGAATGTCTGCTCTCCAAGCTGCAGCTGCAGCTCGCTGTGCCGAGCAGCTCCAAACACTCTTGCAAATGCAATTCAGATCACCCCTCCATTCACACCTGGGGTTCCAGAGAAGAAAGAAAGGTTGAGAGCCCTCGTGAGCATTCCCTTCTGGGTCCCCCAGATGCCTCTGCACCCCGGAGCTGAGGCAGCTTCTCTCCCCTGCCCAGGGCCCCTGCCATTGCCCTGGACACAGCCGCCAGCTGGGCCCCCTCTCCACACCCCACACCCCTCACTGGCCTGGCCCACTGCCCCTTGGACTCCGGCTTCAGTCTCTCCTAGTCCCCAGGTATTCCCGCCTCATGAGAATTTTGGTTTCTCTGGCCTCTGAGCCTGTTTTCCCACCAGCCACTATAGAGGCCCGGCCTCCCCTCCCCATCGCAAGGCAAGAAAAATTCCCCTCTGCCCGCAGGTCTCTCGGGGGCCTAAGAACTAAACGGAACATAAGTCAGATTAGCAGGAGGAAAGCAGACGCGTTTTATTGAATTTTCCCATGTGCCTGGGAAGTTTCACAGGAGGCCCCAACGATGGGACCGAAGCAGGAAGCCTTGAGGCCTGTAGACAAAGAATAAACTGGGAAGAGCTGGCAAGACAGGGAGGCTGGGGCTCTGGGTGGTGCACGGGGAAGGAGCGACCAGGTCGGCCTGGTTTGTTTAACGCGGTTTGTTGATGCGGACTTCTCGGCCCTGCATTCCCTGTCTCTCCTGAAGCAGGGAGGGCTCCTCTGACACAGGACTTAGCTCCTGATTTCAGGAGGACAAGGCGGGTCAGCGTGTGCTTCTTGCACCGGCTGCTTCTTAGGCACCTTTAACTCAAAACAGTCAGCATGCCAGTGGCAGGTTTGGGGTGGCACCTTCTGAACCCCTTCACCATCTTCCCAGGGACACGCCTGGCCCGCACCCCGGCCTCAGCCACAGGGCACCCCGGAGGCTGCCTTCCCACCACGCTCCCAAGATCGTCTGGCTTTCTCAGTTTGTTTGCTTTTAACAGGCATTTGAGTCACCAGGACTTACCTGTTCCACCTGCTGGTTCATTGCAGGTGCCAAACGCAAACCCTCCGTCTCCCCTCCGGTCCCCTCTCCCCGCTCTTTCCCACGCAGCGCCCTCATCACGGTGCCCTCGGCCCGTGCGTGTCAGTGCTGCTGCCCATAAAGTGAAAGATGAGGCTCGATTTCATTCCAGACGCAAACTGCATAATGGCTCAGACACAGTCACTTCTTTTCTTGTTTCTAGTCGGATGGCAGCTCTGCCATGAGCACAGGCCCAAGGCCCCTCCACTCCCCATGGAAGGGCACGGGCACAGGGGGGCACATACACTCTTTAAGGGCAGAAGGGGTCTCGGCCCGTGGCCACTCCTCCTGAGAGGAGGCCAGGAACTGTGCTCAGTCCCGAGCTAGAAGAGGGGGAACAGGTTTGGAGGCTCACTGGCAGCTCCCGGGACTGTCCAGAGCACTCACCCCACTCACTCTAACTGTTCACACAGGCCCCCCAGCTCAGAAGGCCCTCCTGGAGCTTGAAGTGACAGCTGAGCCAGGAAGGGGGGAAAGCAGCTTCACCGTGGGTGGCGGGGGCGGGCGTGGACTTCCTCCCTGACATTTAAAGTATGAATCTCGCTGAAGACTTAAAAAGCAGCTAATCTGACAAGCAGTCTTCTCCACGGAAGGGCTCCGGGAGATGAGGGCGCGGGTGGCTTTGCACCGTCAGGAGCTTAGCAGCTGGGTCAAAGCAAGACACTCGCCAGGTCTGCAGCAAAGGCCTCCCGCCTGCCGGGGCGTGAGCCCAGAGCTGGTCCCACTCGGGCCAAAACCAACAGTGAGATTTCATCTGGGACCACTCGGGGCCACAATCATCGTGCCTTGTAGGGGGTGTTGTCAGTGAGAGGGACTTCACCCGCACATCCATCTAGATCTCCACTCACCTCCACCCCGTCCCAGCCTCAGCTGCTACCCTCTCACTCCTGTCCTGATATCTGTTCCAAGAAGGAGGAAGAGGAGGAGGGGGAGAGGAGGAGGAGGAGGAGAAGAGTGAGAAGAAGGAGGAGGAGGAGTGGGAGGAGGAGGAAGAAGAGGAGAAGGAGGGCCAGGATCTAAAAGTCAAAGTTGCCAAACCAAACCACCAGATGGGCCTCTTCCGGGGGCTGAAATATAAGAGCAGACCTAGGCCACTGATGTCACGTTGGCACCACCTGAGTCCCACCCCCAGCTGTTTCCTTAACCAGATGAGGGTTTTCTCGACAGACTGCCTTTCTCTGTGGTTAACCAAGGGGACAAACTGTAGGTGCCATGGACAAAACGCATGACAGAGTCAACGGACACAGGAGAGCCTGGGGGAAGAAATGGCTCATAAGCCCCTAGGGAGCTTGGAAGGTATTGGCTGAGCACATAGCTTCACATGGTGGCTTCTATGTGTGTGGTAACAGCGGCCGTGCCAGACTTCCCCTTGCACGCAGATTCTACAAAAATTTTCCTAATACATGAGTAACTGCCGATTCTACCAATGCTTTCATCACAGGGCCTTCAGCAAAACATAGCCACACGCCAGGACTGCAGATAGTCAATGTGGAGGCAGCAACCAAATCGAATGTGTAAACACTCAAAAAAGAGATTCCCCCACACTGTTTTAACCTTGGTATGAAATCAACCAACAAAAACCAGACCTTTTTTTTAAATCTGAGAGATAATGTAAAGATCTTGCCCTAAACATAAGGAAAGTAGCAAAGGAACAATTTAGTTGAAAGGAAAATGTATTACGTGTCAGTTCCAGGCAGGTATGTGGTTTCATCCAACTACAACCCCATGAATTGGGCATCTTGATCACCACTTGGTAAATGTGGAAACTGAGGCTCAGTGAATTCAGATAGTGTGTTAGTCTACCTGGGCTGCCATAACAGGGACCACAAACCGTGAGGCTTAAAGAACAGAAATGTATTTTCTCACAATTCTGAGGGCTGGCAATTGAAGATCGAGGAACCAGCAGGGTTGGTTTCTGGGGACTCTGGTTGGTCTGGGAGACCTCTGCTCCTGGCTTACAGACGGCCGCCTTCCCACGGCCCTCACATGTCCTTTCCTCCAGGTACACATCCTGGTGTCTCCTCCTCTTCTTATGAAGACACCAGCCCTGTAGAATTAGGGACCCACCATATGACCTCATTCAACCTTACTTAATTCCCGAAAGGCCCCCTCTCCACATTTGTGGGGCAGGGAGAGGGGGGCGGGGAAGTGATATAAAAAGTAGCACGTCCAAGAGCCCACATTTGGTAAGTGGAAGAGCGGAGACTGTCCGAATCCTAACATCTCTTTATCCGCAGTGTGCAGCTCCCTGCCGTGGCGTCTCAGGTGAAGCGGGAGACCCCTGGCTGAGAGCTGACTCTCAGAGCTTGCTGGCCAGGAGACGCTTTCACAGCTGGGAGCTCTGTCTACTGGGAAGGGGGTTGAAGTCCCTACACAAAGGTACACGGCAGAGCACAGAGTCCAAGTCAACTCGGGGTCTGTCCAGACGATGCCACATAAAACTCGCTCTGTCTACTTTGTGAATAGCTACACACATGGCGTTTGGTTTGACGTTCATATCCCGCGCACGGTGTGGTTCCCATGATCCCCTAAGAGCCAGCATTTCATTCGGTCTTTCTTTTCTTTTCTCCAAACCACCAGCTAATGTCCTGGAGGGCGACTCCATGGACCAGGATGTGGAGAGCCCCGTGGCCATTCACCAGCCAAAGTTGCCTAAGCAGGCCAGGGACGACCTGCCGAGACACATCTGCCGAGACCGGACCAAAAGGAAAATCCAGAGGTACGTGCGGAAGGACGGGAAGTGCAACGTGCACCATGGCAACGTGCGGGAGACCTACCGCTACCTGACTGACATCTTCACCACCTTAGTCGACCTCAAGTGGAGGTTCAACCTGCTGATCTTCGTCATGGTTTACACAGTCACGTGGCTCTTTTTTGGGATGATCTGGTGGCTAATAGCATATATCCGAGGAGATATGGACCACATAGAGGACCCGTCGTGGACTCCCTGCGTCACCAACCTCAACGGGTTTGTCTCTGCTTTTTTATTCTCAATAGAGACAGAAACCACCATCGGTTATGGCTACCGGGTCATCACGGACAAGTGCCCGGAGGGGATCATTCTCCTCTTAGTCCAGTCGGTGTTGGGGTCCATTGTCAATGCATTCATGGTGGGGTGCATGTTTGTCAAAATATCACAACCCAAGAAGAGGGCAGAGACCCTGGTGTTTTCCACCCACGCGGTGATCTCCATGCGGGATGGGAAGCTGTGCCTGATGTTTCGCGTCGGGGACCTCAGGAATTCCCACATCGTGGAGGCCTCCATCCGAGCCAAGCTGATCAAATCCAAACAGACCTCAGAGGGGGAGTTCATCCCCTTGAACCAGACGGACATCAACGTCGGGTATTACACTGGGGACGACCGGCTGTTCCTGGTGTCGCCTCTCATCATCAGTCACGAAATCAACCAACAGAGTCCTTTCTGGGAAATCTCCAAAGCCCAGCTGCCCAAAGAGGAGCTGGAGATCGTGGTCATCCTGGAAGGGATGGTGGAAGCCACAGGTAAGGCCTGCTCCGTCCTGGGGTGTCTGTGGGACCCAGGCTCCTTTCAACTGGGTCTCACATTCTTATTTATGGGGAAGCTGCACCGCACTCACTGTTGACACCGCCCCTCACTTCATGACGTAGTATGCCCATGTAGCTTATCCCCTCAAGTCTGTCCACTGAGAAGGCTAGCCGTCACTTTTTAAAAGGCCTTTAGAAACAAATTGATAAACAAGTGTTTTAAAAACACTGCTATATGTTAAATTTCCAAGTATTTACGTAAGTTAAAATTTCTCGCTAAAGCACCTTTTAAATGGCGCTGAAACATGGTCAATTTAAATACTTGGGGTTATTTATTGCCTCGCCAGGGAAGGCTTTCAGAGGAAGCCTGACAAATAGCTTTAATAAAAATGCAATTTCCCCTCTTCTTTGGGAGCTATTTGCAAGGCCCATAGCATTGTTTTATGTCGAGTGAGTGCTTGGCGTCTATCTCCATAGTCTACCTGCTGAACCCCCGGCAGACACAATCCTGCAGCCCCAGTAAATAGCTCCAGCAGGAAAGCAAAAAGCTGAAGATCCATTCATCGCAACCCCATTGACCTCTCATTGGTGTGCTTTAGGGAAGATCATCTGCTCTCAGAATAGAGAGCTGGTCTGCTTTTATTGAAGTCTTCACTCATATCTGAACTTTACACGTGTTATTCATCCCACCAGCAAAGCAGGTTCTGCCCGTGTTTATCTGTAACTGTCCACAAAACAGAGCCGTAAACTCTGACCGAAGCTAGCAATGGTGTCCTCCAGAAATCATATAAACTAGAACCCTAACTCATCAATTTCTTTACTGTTCTTCTGAGCATCGATAGTAGCCTTGGGATCCTGTCTAGTTATGCAATCTGCCCTTCTGTGCTTGGAAGTCTTCAACTGGAGGCTCGGGGTTGGTTTATCTCGTCTGAAAATACATGGCCCACAGACAGGCCCCAGATTCCTCATCAACCCCTAAGCTGGCCTCCGTCATCCCTTCAAAAGAAAGTCCTTGGTCCCGTGTCTCCGCCTGCCTGTGCCCAGCAGGCAAGGTCATCCCTCTAGCCAGTTTCTCTCCTGGTGGAAGCTTTGCCATCAGTCTGTAAATGCAACCAGCAATGAAAATGTGAGTGGCGGGCTTTGCATGGAGCTTGGTGGTTTGAGTGGGCTCCTTTCCATAGAACTAGAGGAACAGGGACCTAATCCGAAAACAGCTGTAAAGAATAGCAAAAGAATGATTGTGGAACACTAAAAGATTGCTGCAGATGTGAACAGGGCTATCTGTTACTTTAGCCTGACTTCGGATGTATTCCTGAAGCCATGGTTGTATGTTTGGGGGAATGGAGAGGCAGGAGAGAGGGAGGGAGCAATTTAAACCGGGAGCCCTGTCATTTCCCACAGACCAGAAACTTCTCCCACAGGGCTGAGCACAGGGACTCTGGATCCCCCTAGTGGTGGCCCCTGCGACACAGCCTCTGGCAGCATAAACCAACCACTCATGATGCAATTCGAATATTAGATTTCTCACTATCAACTCTCCCAATAGGACCTGAGGGAGGGCAGTGGACAAGCCTTGTTATCGTTGCATCTCTAAGCTCAAGAAGCAAAAGCCACTGGAAATATGTACTTTCTGGTTAGTGGTGTTCATCTGAGCTTCAAACTGTAGGAGCTGAGCTTCATGCTCGCTCCACCCAAAACTCAATCTCAAAAAAATACATGAACCCGGAATAAGCAAATTATCCTGTGATGTCCCTGAGCTGGCATTCTCCCTGGGGCAGGCCCTGTCTTTCTGAGGACCGTTTATAATGCCTGAACCTTTCTAAAGAGAGGGGCGTCGTCTTCTTGATAATTCACAGTGATGCTTGCCACAGCCTTTCTACTGCTTTCTTGGAGGAAAGGGGGAAGGTGCCAGCAAAAAAGAAAAGATTCAAAACACCTGCCTTTGTTCTTGGAAAAAGGAAACCCCTATTAATTTTCTATTTAAACAAAAAAAAAAGTTTTCTAACTTCTGGAAAGTGAAGGGAAGAATGTTCTAGAAAGTCCTGGGCTTGTCTGGAAGCTGGACATGTCTTGTTCCTTTCCTGGTGGGATTCATACAATTCAGTGCTTATAGCATATCTGATCTCTTAAGCTTCAGGGGAATGCTTTTCTTTGTGAATGAAAAACACAGTTGGCATTTGTGGGCATTAAACAGATCCTTAGGGGGAAGAAATGCTTCAATGAGTCAAAGTCACAGGAAAAAATTAATGTGGATCAAATGCGCACTGAGAAAAACAAATTCGCAAGGGCCTAATTATTCATTGGAGGGCTGGATGGGACACCAAGATTACAGTGAGCTGGCACAAGACGGCTTCCACTCTACTCATTTCTCCTTTCAAAAATGTCTTAGTTGACCTTAAACTACTATCCGTGATCTCAGTTAGCAGGCCTATTTCAAGGACGAGCCCCACATTGCAACCCTGATGCAGTGCCCTCTCCCTGTCACCCACATGTGGGCATACGTGGATCAGAACATGGTATTTCTGGAGAGCTGAGCTGCCCTGGGGAAGGCTGGCCACCCGGTCCTTCAGTCAGCTGGGTCCCAGGCTCAGCACAAAACATCTGGCAGATGATTCCAACGCCAGTGGCACTGCAGCAAGCCTTTGCCCAGCACTCAGAGTCAGGCTCATTTTTAGAAAATGAAAGTAAGAACCTTGAGGGTAGGGTGTGCATCTTGCCCAACCCCGGTGCCCTGCAGGTCATGACCCCAGGCCTTCACTCGATGAGTTCTCTGGCCTCATAAAAGGCAGACTCGCATCCACAAAAGACAGACCCACATCCTCAGGGGATGGCTTCAGTCTGATTCTGCCCAGACTCAGAGAAATGTGTACAGTGACCTCTAAGAACCTTCCAGTCATGTGATTCTATTTTTGAAAATGAATCAAACCCTGCAAAATTCTGACACCCACCACCCAGACATCTGGGAACTGGCCGTGTCTCATCCCACAAATATATTTTTTAAGGGAGCCCTTTATGTTCCTGACACATGGGTGATTTTGAGATAGTGATGTTTACAGAAGGGTTCATAGCTACATAAACAAACACGCTCAGCAGCTGTGGAGAATGTGCATTTAAATAGTAAAGCATTCACATGGACGGTTATTTATGGTGGGTAAATTGGCCTAGAGGCTAGATGACAGCCACACAGAGCTGGGCCCGTTGCCAGCCAGCTCCTCACCATAGCCTTTCTGATTGATGAACTTCCATATTTACCCCCAGTGATTATGCAACTATGACAAGCAGCCCTTTCCAACCCCTCCGCCAATGTGCTCCATAGATAAACCCCATCAAGCTGGGTTTTTTACACTTTTTATTATGTAAACTATAAAATGTATACAAGAATTGGCCAAGTAGTATAACCCACTCCCGTGTACCCATCATTTAATTACTATAATTGTCAATTTATGCCCAAAACTTGTCCCACCTATATCACCACTCACTAACTGCTCCCAGCATCATATTTTATCTGCAAAATTTTCAGTATGTATCTTAAAAGATAAGGACCCTTTTAAAAACATAACTATAACACCATTAGGACCCAAAAAATAATTAATGATCATCTCTTCAGATCTAATATCTAAGTGTTCCAATTTCCAATTGTCTCATAAATGTCTTTTTAAAAAATTTTTTAATCTGCTGGTTTGACTCGGGATGCAAATGAAGTTAACACACTGGTTGGTTGCGATCTCTCTTTAGCTTCTTAATCTATGACTTCCCCTTAATCTATGAATTTTTTTTCTCAAAGAAGAAAACTTCTGAAAGATTTAAGTACGGCATGAAAAATTGGGGAAAGTGGAAGTGGGTGGGGCAAACCGGAAGTGTGTGGTGGCAAAGTGGAAGTGGGTGATAGTGAACCGGAAGTTGGTGATAGTGAACCGGAAGTTGGTGATAGTGAACCGGAAGTTGGTGATAGTGAACCGGAAGTTGGTGGTGGCAAACAGGAAGTGGGTGTCAGCAAGCGGTTCTTCACCACTGGGAAGCTCAGTTCCATCGCTAGAATAATATTATCCACATGAAGAAAGTCAGCTCGCAGGTCCTAGCATTTTTAATTGGGAGGAGTCCTTAGTGGACTCTTAGCTGAGGAAATGGAGGCCTGGCTAAGGCCCATTGGCCTCTGGCAGAGCCGGAAGTGGACACCCAAGGCCCCTGACGGTGGCTCAGCCCCGGGTTTAGTGCCTTTTGCAACGCGAGAGCTGCTGGTCCATGAAGACTCGGTAGAGAGATGCTCCCGAAAGAGACAGCTGGCGTTTCGTGGGCAGACGGGCTTTCTTCTCTTCGCCTCCACCGTTAGCTCCTCTTTTGCTGTAAGGTTTCTCTGTTGGTCTCCCATGTTACCGACTCATTTTAAAATTCTTTATGCGTTCCCATGAGTTTTTAAGAGCCGTCTATTAAAAAGAGGCAACGCCGCCAAGAAAGTTCTGAAATTGAAATTAGGTAAGCAATGTCTACAAAGATACGCCTGGGAGGACAGGCTGCTCTGTCCGCTCTGATTTCCAAGCGCCAGCTTCCCTTTCCGCCATCAAGAAGCCACTCGGCTGTCCCGTCCCGGGGGGGACCCTGAGCCCAGGCAGCTGGACAGTGGCTGCTCGGGGAAGGCGGCTGGGGCTTGGCGTCCCAGGACCTTACGCTGTTTCTAATAGCGATGTTTCACAGCCATTGCCTTCCACCGCCCTCACTTCCTCCTTTTTATAAGTAACTGCTAATCCCTCAAGTGGCAAGCCATTTTCTCCAGATTTACTGCTTTCCTCTTAAGAGTTTATAACCCCAGCTACCTGCCTACCTTGGGAAAACGGTTGATGAGACCTGAATGGTAAGCACTTGGGTGAAAATCACCTCTATGAGGAGTAATGTTTTTAAAAACTCAAAGACGTGAATGCATTTTTCCTAAGTAGAAATCTACTGTCAACATCAAGAAATCCAATAGTCCCTTCTTTGGGCATTAGGTTTAAGTGACCTAT